AATTGCAATTCTAACAAGAAGGAGGAACAAATAATTATCTTAGATCCGACATTCAATCAACTGTTCAGCCTTGGTTCTGCTCGGCTTCAAACTGGGCCATCGTGTATACACTAGCTCGACCTCCTTCACCAAACCTCGGTTGGGCCTGCTGATGCTGTTGTTGTAGAGGTGGGGGTTGCTGGGCATTCAGCTGCGGGGGCGGTGGGGGAACCTGCTGCTGATGAGGGTAAGGCAGATGCTGCTGATGAGGTCCCTGTTGCTGCCTCCTCGGCTCGGGACACATATGGGCAAAGTGACCTATGCACTGACAATTGTAGCACGTTTTCTGAGCAGCTCGACACTCACCGTTATGGTTCTTGCCGCAATTAGGACACGCTAGAATAGGGCCATGGGTGGCGGGGCGGTAATCACGTCTGTCTGAGCCTCCACGCTTTCCCTTCCGGTCATCTCGGTGGGAATCAACCTTTCTCTTGCCCAAACTAGAGCCGGGTGGCGCGGATGAGATGGGCTGAGCGTACTGAATATGAGTCTGAGCAGGATGAAAAGTGTGGTGATAGGAGGGGACTGGAGCTATAGGAATGAGACAACTCTCCACCTCCTGAGCCCGACTCACAGTGTCGGCGTAAGACATCAGTCCGTGACTCCCCACCAGTTCACGGATCCTCTGATTAAGCCCCTTTAAGGAATTTGCGGGCCTTCTTAGCATCAGTATTCACCGAGTCACCAGCAAAAAGACACATCCTGGTGAAAGTGCGAATATACTCGTCCACGGTGGAGCAGCCCTGCTGCAGATGGTAGAACTCATGCTTCATTCGCTCCCAAAAACTCTGGTGAAGGAACTTGTCAAGCACCATCAACTTCATCTGCTCCCAAGTGAGAGCATTAAGCTCAGCCTCTGGCCTCCAAGCCCAGTGGTCAATCCACCAGTCGGAAGCGTCCTCCTTCATCTGGTAAGCTGCGAGAGATACACGCTGTCGGTCCGGGAGAGGAAGCACAACGAAAATCTTATCCAACTCCTTGATCCATTCCAGTACCTTTGTAGGGTTCTCAGTCCCCGAGAAATTCGGTGCATTCATTCTCTGAAACTGGACTATGAGTTGGGTAAGGCCCATGGTCGGAGGGGCCTTGTGATGATGAGGAGGCGGGGAAGGAGACATGGATGGTTGACGGTTGCGGTTGTTGCGGGTATTCATAACTCTACATTGAATAAGCCGAACAAAGTTCAACACATAACATGAATACGGAAGTCTAGAGTTCTCCATTAAACACTAAGGTTCATATCATTTAAAGGTGGATAAGTCCTAATCCCGATTTCATTCCAATAATCAACAATCATGCAATGAACAATAATCTCAAATATCATTCAGGTACTCATACCTGAGTTGGCGCGGCACCACGAGAGCGAGTGGTCATAACATGAGATCGAAACATGTAATCACGTAATTTACATTAACCAGTCTACATAAACGCAGACTGGCTCTGATACCAAACTGTAACGCCCCACTTTTATTTTCCGAAAATCAGAATAAATTTTTCAAAATTTATTTCAAAACACATGGCGGTGCTGCTCATTGTTAAAATAATTTCTAATAATATCACAAATTTAACTCCCAAACATGTTCCTCAAAATCATAAATACTACGGAGTTCACTCCCTATCAATAATCTGATACTCATTATTCGCAAAGCATAAATAACAATAATTAATTCAAATAGAAGCAATATCATATATATGACCACCACTCGCCTCCCTCCGCCGTGCCCGCAATACTAACCTGCATCCATGAAGAGCAGGTGGGGATGAGCACAAATAGAAATAATAGTGCTCACCACTATGCACGTAAATAACAAAATAATATAACTAGGGGTATGGTCATAGCCTGATCATAAATCAATTTGACATGTCACATCTCCAATCAATACACCAATAATCTCACTCATGTGCACATCTATCATTAGCCATTGAAGAACATACAACTCTCAACAATGGGAGTGCATACCGAAGGACATACAACTCTCAACGGTATGGCCTATCATTAGGACTTTGGGAGACTGCCTCACAAGGCACCGTCGAAGGACATACATCTCTCAACGACGGGGACAATCGTTCGAAGGACATCCAGCTCACATCAAAGGTTACACAAATTTACAAGCACGCATTGATCATACCAACCCAACAACAAATAAATTATTTACAGCATCAAATTTTTAAATAAAACCCACCTAGAAATTTCGGTAGAAAATTGCACACAAAAGCAAGTACGTAGGATGAGGGTTCAACTCCTCAAACACCTCCATTTAAGTGAGATAATATATCAATAATCTATCTCACTACTCGAATTTAACATAAAACCCATACTTAATAAAAATTAAGATTTAAGGGTTTTAATTGGATTTCTCGTGGACTTAGAACTCTTTCATTTTTAAAAAATAGGACCCGAAAAATTAAATTGGAGTCTCAGGACTTAAATAATTTTTCCCAAATATTTTCTCATTTGGAAATAATTATTAGAAATAAGTTCGGGTCAAAAAAATAGGTTTCCAGGACACAAAACGGGTCAAAACGAAGTCAAATTGGGCCACTACACATTAATTTGAGCTTGATGTGCGCGGTCACTGGGCCCATAGGAGGCTGGCCCAACACCCATAAGGGCTGAAGGCACTCGGGCCTCCACTGGGCCGGGATACGGGCTCGCGTACCTCCTCTGCTGACACAAGGATGGGCCGCGCGCGGGCCTAATGCGGGCTAAGAAGCCCGCGCGCCTGGAGCAGCTGGTACTTAAAAAAAATATTCTGCAGGGGCTGTGGTTCGAACCAGTGACCAAGCTAAAGGATGGCAATGCAGACAACCGCTGCACCACACGCTAGGATGCAACAATAAACGAAATCTCTTCTTTTTACTATAGCTTGCTGGTGAATTAAAACAAAAAGGGACGACAACAGG